CTTTGACATTTTAGGCCAAATTATGCAGGGGTTATATATAGTTTTTCAAACTACAAGGAAGTTATGTGAAAAAGCGCTAAACCACAGAGGATAAAGTGTATTTTAACCTTTTAATAAACACCTCCTTTGTTTAACCGCTGCCCTTCCAACCAAAAGAACACATCATATTAATAAGGGATAATTTCAAAAACCTCTCTTGAGGTTTCTAACAATTTCATTGACCTCTGTTAACATTTGTAAAATTACACTAACCTCTTCTGAAATTAAGATTTTGGTAACAAAATTAGTCCAAATCGAAAAAAAGTCATTAAAAATACTTTGAGAAGAGAGATAAAACTTTTATTCCATAAATGCTCTTTATGCTTGTGTACAAATTATATTGTAAAGGAATGAAAAACATGTTAATAAAAATGAGGGAAGATAAGTGCAAATAGCAAAGAACCAAAAATAAATAGCAACTAACTTTCTCTACAAAGTTAGATCAACGCTAGTGCATTGGATTATGATGGCTATTTTTTTAGGTCTTTACCAATTTTGCATATAACGGCAACAAGAAGCATTAAGATGGATCTCATTTTCACTTCAAGCAGCAAAATTTGAGGTGGAAAAATAGTGATTTTGTATAGAGTTCGCAAGTTGAAGGTGAAGTATAGGTGTAGAAACTATAGCGCTATCAAACTACAGGAGAAAATCATAATATTCACCCACATCTTTTAGCATTAAGAACAAATATTGCAAGTGTAATTGCAAGGCAACTGTGAAGATTTTTAAGAGTACAAAATATCCAGACAAATTATTGTTTGGTGTATCAAATTCTGAGAGTGAACAAAAATTTGGTACATCAATTGGCACCATTTTGTAATTGCAGGTTATTGTTCATCATTTAAAAGTTTTCTAATAGCTATTTTCGTTAATTAGTTACTAACAGTTAATTAGTACCCTAATTACTTAATTGCTGGATGTTAGTTTCCAATAAAACATAATATCTTAGGGTATATGAGTAATTTTCATCCAATAAAACACTATAAGGGAGGTTAGTGTTATTTTGGAAACCTTAAGAGAGGTGAGTGAAATTGTCAGAAACCTCTCTTGAGGGAGGTTTCTGAAATTATCCCTATTAATAAACACCTCCTTAGTTTTGGTTGGGGTGGGAGGGGTGTTTGGTTTGGTTTGGAAGGCAAAAGCAAAATGGACAAAAATAATTAACCTCAGCTAACATGTCGTCTGCCTCATCAAACACAAGAATCTTCAAGAAAATTATGTTCAATTTCCTTGCTATTATCCACCAGTGGTGATTTGAGTGGTGATCCGATCACTTTTGCTGTAACATGTGGCCTCTTTGAGAGTGGTACGATGTTGGCACCAGTGGTGCAATGTTGATATACCTGCTGGGCAGCTGATTCTGTGAATTGCCGCATCTTCAACAAAAAGACAAACCGATAGACTGTAACAGCTTGACTTAGCAAGAAACCACTTTACTTCTTTCAAACGCTCCGCATAACCCAAAAGAAATCAACTCGCCCAGCCCTGTAATCCGCTTATCCTGCTGATTATCTTCAATGTCTTGCTCGTTCATCAACATTGGATCTCTTTGTTTCTAGGTTTGATGCTTTCCTCTTCCTCTCACTAAGCTCAGTTTGTACTATTTTCTTCGGACATTAAATCATAGATATTCAAATTGGATTAATTCGGAAGAAGATAAAGAAATGTTTTCACAAGAATAAAGAGATTGGTGATGACATAATTGTGGTGTATATAAATCACATAGAAGTAGCAATAAAAAAAAATCATTGATCATATGCTCTTAAAAGTATGACTGTGTGTGTGGGTGCATGTATGTGCACTCTCAAATGTGTATCTTATGTTGAGAGTCAAAGGTGATGGAGAGACCAACTCTTCTTTTTTTTTTTTTTTTCGTTTAACCCATCCACTCGTCCCCTCTATTTCCCTATTCCCCAACTGCTAGGGCTAAGGATTGATCCCTAGACCTAGTAAGGGGGGAAGAGCTCTAAACTCTCCCCCGGCCACCTAGGACTTAGTCCTAGAGCTCTCCCCCAGCCACCTAGACTAGTCCTAGGTAGGTGGCTGTGGGGAAGAGATTTACCAAGGCATACTTAAACAGATTATGCATGGACAATTGTTTTTGCTAATATGCATTAATTCAATCCATTTCGAACAATTTATACACGTTTACTAAACCGTTCCAATGGATTGGACGAATTTTTATCACTGTTAATTAAATGAAAATCAATTATAAACAATTTATCAATTTTGCCACCACTATAACCAAAAAAGTATTATATTGACCAGACATGACTTGATCGCCATTTACTGCCCGAAAACCTTCTCTTCCACTTCCAAAGAAGCCTTTATAGATCCTAACACTTGAGCAGTGCTTAAAAAAAAAAAGAATCTTCATATGTTAGAAAGATTAATCCTCAAACAATGTTCTACTAGCTCCGCAAGATCTCCTAACGAAGACCAAGGTTGGGTCTGGATCAGGATTTGGTGCTTTGTTTTTTTAACTTTGGAAAAAATTATCCCATTTCGTTTTTTTCTAAGTTGCATCAATCTATTCACATTCAGCAATCCATATAATGTCTGAGCTATACCAGGCTGTCTGAAGGAACTTTTGTTTTGTCTTTTTCTCTCTCTTAAAACTTCACCAAATATGCTTCTTTGACTGATTTCCAAAACTGCTTCTTAATATTTTTTCCGCATGAAGTCCATTGAAAATTTGACTATTCTTTGTCACCCTGTGATACTGATAAATGTACAACAGATAAGCTCTACAGCTCTGAATCTCGATCAACGGTTTGTTTCCAAGCTTTCTTTTCCTTCTCAGTTGCTCCTATTTATCCAATCTTACCCTTTCATTTTAATTATCTATCATCCAAATTACTGAAAAACAGGCTTCCTCTCCTATTGTAATTGTTACAAGCTTTAAAATTTTCTTCCTTCGGTTCTCTCTTTCTTCCCCCACACCCCCCCCCCCTTTTTCTTAATCATGTAACTTTTAATTTTAAACGCATCTACTGCATGAATTATGCTGAAGTTGAAGACTAGCGAAGGCAGCGGACCATGGCTAAACAGTACCAATCGACACATTGGAAGGCAGCATTGGGAGTTCTGGAACTCCTGAACAACGAAAAGAAGCAGAATTAGTTCGTCAGCACTTCAAGAAGAACAGGTTCCAGAGGCAGTAAAGTTCTGACCTCCTGATGCGAATGCAGGTACAATAGAGCAGTAGTACTATTACTGTCACACCTCTTTGCCTACCACAATTGATTAACATTCATATCCTTTTTTACGTAATATACTTAAACTCTCACATATGTTACTACAGTTAGGAAAGGAGAACTCACATTGTCCTCCAATTCCACCGGCAATAAGGGTTAAAGATATAGAAGATGTAACAGAGGAAGCTGTGGTAACTACACTCAGGAGAGGGATAAGCTTCTACTCAACTATTCAGGCCCGAGATGGATTCTGGCCAGCCGAAAGTGCCGGTCCACTGTTCTTCATGCCTCCGTTAGTATGTATGCTGAAAAATTTTGGTGTCAAAATTTTAAAAATATTAATCAACTAATTGAATGGAACAAGTCTAATTATTAACCATGTTAACAGGTCATGGCCTTTTATATTACCAGAACACTGAATACCGTTCTATCATCAGAACACCAAAAGGAGATCATCCGTTACATATACAATCATCAGGTCCTAAAAGATCTCGATCATGGAAAGTTAAAAAAAAAAAGAATAAATTCTTTTGTGCTTAAGAAAAGATGGAGCAGTTATTTATTTGACATTTTCTTTTTCATTTATAGAATGAAGATGGAGGCTGGGGACTGCATATAGAGAGACAGCTCTATGCTTGGTTCAATCATTAGCTACATCGCATTGAGGTTGCTAGGAGAAGGACCTGAAGATGGGGAAGATAGGGCCATGGCAAGAGGGCGTGGATGGATTCTTGATCGTGGTGGTGCTGTTGCATGGTTCGAAGTCTCGGCCGAGACCGAGACGACTCGGCCGAGTACCGTGACGAAACGATACCGAGATACTTGACTCGCCGAGAAATCGGCCGAGACGTCACCACGACGGATTGATTCGGCCGAGTCACTCCGAGTTATCCCGAGTCAAGACGAGAGATCGGCCGAGTTACACTGTGACGGATTGACTCGGTCATTTCTTTTGCTATTTTTTATTATTTTTGTTTAGCATACTTTTTTTTTATATTATTAACAATTTTTAGAATATTAAATACTTTAAAATTTGCGTCTCACCTAGACCACGACCGATATGTCGAGGCCGATGTGGAACGTTCTGGGCCGCGACCGTGACCGCGACCACGACCGCGACTTTGAACCATGGTTGCAACACCATCATGGGGAAAGTTTTGGCTAAGTGTATGGTTATACAGCTTTACTCGTACTTGCTCATTTACTCAAAAAGGCTTCTTAAACTATCGGGGGACTACATTTGTGAATGCACTTCTCAATCGCATTTGTTGTTTAAGGTGACTAACGTCTTGGTGGTGGGCAGAAGTAATAATATAATATTTTCTTAAAAACAGGTTCTTGGAGTGTATGATTGGGCAGGGTGCAATCCACTTCCTCCAGAGTTCTGGCTACTTCCCAAATCCTTTCCAATTCATCCAGGTTCTTATATACTAATATAAGTATATAACTGCTTCGCCTTTTTCTGTAACATGTTATTGTCAATGGATAATAAATGGCAGATATCCTTTAAAGGCTTCTACACTGAGTAGTAATATGCCAATCTACTGTAAGCAATTTGACAATGAGGATGTCTAGATTCTTCAGCATAGTATTCAGAGCTTAACTCTCTATTTCATTCTAATGCTTTAGCTTACTGGTTGTTGCATGCTTTCGGCTTATTTGTTCCCATCATGTCAATATTTGTGATGCGGCACAAATGATGTGTTACTGTCGCTTGGTTTACATGCCCAGTCATATTTGTACCGGAAGAGATTTGTTGGGAGGATAACAGAAATAATACATTCTCTGAGAAATGAGTTGTACGTCCAACCATATCATCAAGTAGATTGGAATAACACACGAAATACCATTGCAAAGGTCAGCTCAACTAGCTCAAGCCATTGCATCATTTAATCTAATCATATGTTCATATATCTTCCAATTCAAGTAGAACTGATTTTCTGTTGATACAATGAAAATATGCTAAATGCATTAAATATGTGAAGAATTTCTTGGTTATTGTTTCCATTCAGGAGGATTTGTACTTCCCACACCCTTTAGTACAGGATATGCTACGGGGATTCCTCTATCATTGTGTTGAACCTATCATGACGCAATGGCCATTTTCTATAATAAGGAAAACGGCTTTAGAAAAGGCAATGGAACATGTGCATTATGAGGATGAAAACAGCAGGTATATTTGCATCGGAGTCGTAGAGAAGGTATTTCTTGCCAACTAATTTTATATGGTATGAATCATCAAGTCGAGTCAAGAGTGAATTAAGGATATATAAACAAATTTGTGATGCCAAACTTTATACACTCGATGCAGGTGCTATAGTGGATCATATTGTTTTGGAAAATTACAATTCAAGGACCAATCATAATGTAAATTCCGTGAGCTAGCTTGCAAGTTATTTTACCTAATTATTCTATTATTTTTACAGGCCAATTACTCTATTTATAGGTCAAATTAAAATATAGAATAAATTAAGGTCGATCCCAGAGAGAATCAAAATAATTACTTTGCTTTTTTAAACTCACTTTATTATCTAAACAAATAAAAGTTCAAGTAAAGATAATTCTACAATTATAGTATTCTAATGAAAAGATAGCAAGTCATAAATTTGATGAAGAAATTTCTTAGGGATTTGAATACCTTGTAGTTTAAGTTAAGGTAGTTAATTTGGTTGATCAAGGCTATTGACTTATGGCTTACTAAGGACATTACCTCCAAAATCATTTGTAAATTATTTTCACCAATAAATAAACATACTTATACTAAATCTCCAACTATTTGCATGATGAATTAATTTAGTATAAGGTCATGAAACTCTGAAGTTATCATATCAAGTCCACTTAAACTCGTCTCCTACAATTGTGAACATGGAATCTACTTTTAAAGCACATATTACTTTTGAAACAAAACATGAATAACATGTAAAAAATAAGAGAAAAAATTGAAGAAATCTTATTCAGGATGAACTCCTCAAACTCTTCTTTACAACTTGTTCTTCAACATTGATACAAAAGTATCTCTTCACGAGGAGATCTTCACTTTGCTCTCCTTTATCTAGAACTACATCTACTACTACAAGTGAACTATTAGCTAACACCATCTATCCAACCTCTCCTCATTTCTATGTCCAAGTACTACTCTTTATATATTGCCCTCCATTGGTCTCTACAAGACAAAAAGGTAATCATTTTTTCTATGTGAACACAAAGTTAAAGTTATCTTCAAAAAGTCAAGAAAGATGGCTCCGTGGAATCCAGATGATTTGAGATGATTAAAAGTGTTGTCGATGTTAAGTTGTCATTGATTTTCAAGTCATCAATATGCCCAACCAACTTTCCCACCAAAAGCAAGTAGCATGTGGCAAGAAAGAATGAAGTTGCACAAGTTGTGGAACTTGCAGGTATTTTTCGGCTGGAGAAACTGGGGAAGAAAACTCAGCATGCTCGTGGGATTCTGGGCTGGTTTCTGCGAACTGTTCTTGAGCAACGTTGGAGAAACCATTCTGTTCGGAATCCTCAGATGAAACCGTTGCAAGCTTCATTCAGTTTCTTCCCCTGTCTCACAGCTGCTTTTGATATGCACACTTCTTGCTTTTCTTGCTCATTTTGGCAATCCAATTTCCTAAAATTCTCCTGCCTTTTTCTCTACAATACTAATCAACCAAATGAGTAAGAAAAAGGACAAAAGTTCAATCATTGATCAACATGTTCAAGCATCAAATTGTAACACTAATTCCAACTTCAACATTTGGTTTTGATTAAGAAATGATTGGAAATTACTTAAAACATCAACAAAATATGATGCATATAACATACTTATAATAAATAAATCAGTTCTAATAATGTGGCTGGGTACTATATTCGACTCTTTGGCTACAAAATTGCAAAAGTAGTTAATTTTTATTTTGAATTATTAGTCGGTTACATAATTTACCAATCTTTTCCAGTCATTTTACCTTGTTTTTTTTGGCTTGTGATCCTTTTCCCAAATTATAAATAGCACAAGAATGGTGGATTTCCTGTATGGGAGCCGGAGAAAGCATGCCGTTGGATGGAGGTAACAGTAACAACTAGTTCCACATTATACCATCATCTTGCTTTTGTCCTAACAAAACATTATTTTTCGTAATCCAATGTAGAATCTCAATCCAATTCAAATCTTCCAAGAAGTTATTATCGAACAACGGTCAGATGTCCCTCTCTTTCTTTCCTGCTCCCCCATCCTCGATTTCCAGTCTTCTTCTTGTGATCACAGAAAAAAAAAAAAAAACTACTTGACTGAAACAAGTACAATGCTAGGTATGTGGAATGCACTTCTTCAGCAATTCAATCTCTGATTCTCTTTCAAAAGTTGCATCCTGGACATAGGGAAGCGGAGATAAAGACGTGTATCTGCAAAGCTATAGCTTATATTGAAGATGAACAAAAAACAAGATGGCTCATGGTTTGCTTCTCTATACCCTGATTTTACCTTTGTTACTTTCTTTTTCACAAAAAAGAAAAAAAGAAAAGTTAGTTTCTTTATTCCGACATATAATCTCTAAGCAATCAAATCTATCACCACTTAGAAAGTAATGAAAATGTTTTCGCCAAAAAGTTATAAGACTTTTAGAAATGTTCCTATATAGTCACCTGACTTTTTTATCTCTTCATTTTTATCTTCATTATTGTTGTTATATTAGTAATATCATTGCTTGAAAAAAAAAAAGAAAAAAGAACAAGGTGGCTCATGGTCCGCTTCTCTATATCCTAACTTAACATTTTTAAAATTTTTTTGTTCCTTCCCACTCCCGCCCCCTCTCCCCCGTGGTTCCATTACAATGATGAAGGGGGGAAGGAGAAAGTTTGAAAATTGAATCAGGGATCTCATATATATACTTGATTAATATCCTTATGAATTGAACCAGATCTTAGGAACAGTTAATTTTTTTTTGGGTAAGTTTATGGACAGTTTCTTTATTATGGAATATAATCTCTAAGCATTCAGATTTATCCATCAGAAATTAATAAAAGCATTATAACTTACAAATATTTAAAAATTTACCAAATTTCCTATTATACCCATTGAATGTTATTTTCTTGACTTTTATCCCTATTACTATAACTATTATGATTTTGACAAAGTTTTGTCCCCATTTATATGCAATTTTAACGAATAATAACAGTCAACATCAGCGTATCATGAAGGTTTGAATTCTTCCTAGGTTTGGTCGCTGGGGCATTTGTTACACGTACGCGACCTGGTTTGCGGTGGAAGCACTGGTTGCTTCAGGAAAGAACTATAAAAACTCCGACTCTACGAAAGGCTTGTAGATTTTTGCTATCAAAGCAATTGCCTGATGGTGGATGGGGGGAGAGTTATGTTTCTTGCTCAAATGAGGTTCATAATTTTTTTTCTTTTTCTTTGATCTCCAATAGTTTCATCCATTTTGAAGTAATTAATGTATCACTATAGACACATCAATTAGTTTGTTTTGATAATATCTTTTATTGTTTTATGAGTTATCACCTTAAATTGTTCATTCATTTAACATTTTAATCTTGAAGGAAACAGATCAAATATGGTGCAAACTTCATGGACCTTGTTAACTTTGATTGCTACTGGACAGGTCAGTGTGAATATCAAAAGAAACAAATTTTGCTTCTTATAACTAGTCAGTGTGACTGTTTATAAATTTTCAATCTTCTTATTCCTTTTCTCTAAATTGTCCCTGTAATAAAATGCAATAGTCAAATGGATAAATTGTTTAATGGGATTATTCCATGAACCTCCCTTGGGGTGTATGATAGTTCGATGAAAGTCCTTCACTACTATTTCTTTTTTTTTTTTAAGTCAACTGGTAATATTTATGCTATTCTATTGTAGAGAAGAAGGAGAGCCTAACTGGGTTGTATAAGGAGTTAGAAGGGAGATATGTCCATCTAGATCAAAGAGATGTTTTGGCACACTCTTTGAGTTTTTTTTACCTATAGGATGCGACATTTGAATTCTGACCTATAGTCCAAAGAAAGATTTTAAATCCCTTTTGGTAATCAACTTTCCTAAGACAACCTTCACTACTTTGTCTCTTTTTCCCCTTCACCTTTGATTTAGCCAAACTTTCCTCTCCCTAAAGCCCTATCGCTCTCTCTTCTAATGAGCCAAAACCCACTGTTCCAACCCTAACCACTACTGTGCCATTCCAAATGTTCATTTCCACCACTAAAGAAGTCCTTCTCTAAGACACATACACACCCACATTCATAAACAATTTCATTTGGATATGCAAATGCTTGTTCAAGAGAAAATATACACTAAGAAAAAGATTCATAAAAATAATATAAGAAACAACAGCATTTATAATCGATAGCGAAAGCTCTGTTGCATCTCCTTCCATTTATTGCTACTTAAGGGAGTTCACAAAACTGAAAACTAAGGGGGTGCTTGTTTCATATATTGGAATCGGAAATGGAAATGGAATAATAGACTCTGGTTTTGGAATTAAACTTTTCATTCCAATATCTAGCTTGGTTCACACATTGGAATTAACATCATTCCAATTCCTGATGCTTGGTTTGATGAGTGTTTCGGAATTAAATACAATTAAATTCCAAATTTACCCCTGATATAACAATTCTTATAAAACAAAGGGATAATTGCAGAAAGAAAGTACCCATTTTCCTTTGTATTACTTTCCTCCATTATAAGAACAGAATACCCATTTTCATATAAACAAATTTATTTATTTATCAGATAAAATAAAAATAAACTCGTTTTTCAATAAAAGACCAGCTCTTTATGGCTTTTCTCCATTATAAGAACAGCTCTTTATGGCTTTCCTTCATTATAAGAAGAGAATGCTACAGGTCAGTGTGAATATCAAAAGAAACAAATTTTGCTTCTTATAACTAGTCAGTGTGACTGTTTATAAATTTTCAATCTTCTTATTCCTTTTCTCTAAATTGTCCCTGTAATAAAATGCAATAGTCAAATGGATAAATTGTTTAATGGGATTATTCCATGAACCTCCCTTGGGGTGTATGATAGTTCGATGAAAGTCCTTCACTACTATTTCTTTTTTTTTTTTAAGTCAACTGGTAATATTTATGCTATTCTATTGTAGAGAAGAAGGAGAGCCTAACTGGGTTGTATAAGGAGTTAGAAGGGAGATATGTCCATCTAGATCAAAGAGATGTTTTGGCACACTCTTTGAGTTTTTTTTACCTATAGGATGCGACATTTGAATTCTGACCTATAGTCCAAAGAAAGATTTTAAATCCCTTTTGGTAATCAACTTTCCTAAGACAACCTTCACTACTTTGTCTCTTTTTCCCCTTCACCTTTGATTTAGCCAAACTTTCCTCTCCCTAAAGCCCTATCGCTCTCTCTTCTAATGAGCCAAAACCCACTGTTCCAACCCTAACCACTACTGTGCCATTCCAAATGTTCATTTCCACCACTAAAGAAGTCCTTCTCTAAGACACATACACACCCACATTCATAAACAATTTCATTTGGATATGCAAATGCTTGTTCAAGAGAAAATATACACTAAGAAAAAGATTCATAAAAATAATATAAGAAACAACAGCATTTATAATCGATAGCGAAAGCTCTGTTGCATCTCCTTCCATTTATTGCTACTTAAGGGAGTTCACAAAACTGAAAACTAAGGGGGTGCTTGTTTCATATATTGGAATCGGAAATGGAAATGGAATAATAGACTCTGGTTTTGGAATTAAACTTTTCATTCCAATATCTAGCTTGGTTCACACATTGGAATTAACATCATTCCAATTCCTGATGCTTGGTTTGATGAGTGTTTCGGAATTAAATACAATTAAATTCCAAATTTACCCCTGATATAACAATTCTTATAAAACAAAGGGATAATTGCAGAAAGAAAGTACCCATTTTCCTTTGTATTACTTTCCTCCATTATAAGAACGGAATACCCATTTTCATATAAACAAATTTATTTATTTATCAGATAAAATAAAAATAAACTCGTTTTTCAATAAAAGACCAGCTCTTTATGGCTTTTCTCCATTATAAGAACAGCTCTTTATGGCTTTCCTTCATTATAAGAAGAGAATGCTCATTTTTCCATAAATAAATTTATTTATTTATCAGATAAAATAAAATAAAATAGAAATAAACTCGTATTCCAATAAAAGACCAGCTCTTTATGGCTTTCCCCCATTATAAGAATAACTCTTTATGACTTTACTTCATTATAAGAACAGAGTACCCATTTTTCATAAACAAATTTATTTATTTATCGGATAAAATAAAAATAAACCCGTTTTTCAATAAAAGACCAACTCTTTATGGCTTTCCTCCATTATAAGAACAGAGTACCCATTTTTCCATAAATAAATTTATTTTTTAGATAAAATAAAAATAAACCCGTTTCCAAATAAAAGACCAACTCTTTATGGCTTTTCTTTATTATAAGAGCAGAGTACCCATTTTTTCATAAACAAATTTATTTATCGGATAAAATAATAATAAACCCGTTCTCCAATAAAACACCAGTTCTTTATGACTTTTCTCCATAAGTTATCCATTTTTATATTTGTTCATAAACTAATTTATTAGTTGGATAAAATCAGAATAATGTTAAATCGCAAAAGAAATAGTGGTTGCATTAACAAGTCATTATCAAAATAATGTCAAATCACAAAAGAAATAGTGGCTGCATTAATAAGTCGTTTGTGGTTCCTACATTAGATAATGATTTGAAATAGATCTCTCCTTACATATATGAACAAAAGAAGGAGACTCAAATCACAAAAGCTAACCATACAAAATACAAACCAATTGTCTATTCCAGTTGAGAGTGCCACTCAATATCCACAATCTCCAAAAGACTAATCATATAACCATCTAACAATCATCATAACAAAAAGAAATTGCCATCAAATCATCACTTTCCAGATAGCAATAATTTTACTTCAGTGAGTAGATGGAGGATAAAGGAGGTTAATTACATATTGTCATTTCATTTTTGTAGGAAGATTGTAGAACACATGAAGCATGGAAATCTACTCCGAAAGTATGTCAGCTGCATTCATTACATCTCCACTTGGTAAAGCAAGTTTCAATAACTCAGCAACAACTTGATCTCTTCTATCGGAGACCAATTGCTCACGTTTATCCTCATTTGACATGGTTGCTGCCATAGTTGTGAAATTAGCTTGAATTCCTTCCACGAAATCTCCAAATTTGCTGGTGAGAACAAACCCCTAATACATTCGTTGCAATACTTCATTTTCTCATTCGATATCTTGATTTTTGTTCGGTGGGTGGTGTCACATCTATTAATGTCCTATCGAAGGCACCTAAACAATTCTATTTTAACAAAAATAAAAAATGTAAAATGAGTTAAAATGTCTATATTGGATAGTTTAGATGAAAATATACATTTATTAAATGATTGTATTTTAATGTTTGAATTACCTTAAAACATTTCCATCTCTCATCTGTGCAATCTTCGGTAATAGGCTCAGGCTTCTTAAGCAATATAGTATGCAATTTCAAAACTGCTAGGAGGCAAAGATTAAATTGACAACTCACTGTTTCTCTACTTCTCCAAAATAGACCACAACTTGTTCTACTTTTCTTGTGGTGAGCCAAAACATATACAAATATGGCAACAATTTCTTCTATTGACATGTTTCTTGTAGCTTTCAAACCTCCAGTGTCTTTAATCATTTCACATAATATCTCAAATGTTCGTCTATCCATACAAAGTTCGCTAATACAATAAGCATCACTCTCCCTAGTCAAATTGAATAAGTGTTGCATGCGCTCAGTGACTTTTTCTTCTTTTGATTTTATTTAGCGCCTTCTACTTCAGAGATGAATGAATATTAACTGGTACCACATTATAAACAGTGCAATAACAACCATTATCATTCCCGATAAAATTTGGCTTTGCCCTCGATATTTTTTGCGTCTTCTGTTTTCAATAGGCAAACGTGGCATCTTTGTCTACGTAACAATATGACAACCAAACGTAAGTATTCACCAAACTAGATTACGACATCAAAATCTTCAAATGCATTAAACATCAATTGATCTTATTAAAAGGGCCTAGACATGCATCATACATCCGTAAACACAATGATGTATAGATATAAATAAGCATAAACAAATGAAATTGATGGTTGAAACTCAAAATCCTATTGTACGAATAACTATGAAACTGAAAGGTATTCAGACAGACAATTTTACAAACAGGTACAGGGCATGTAGAAGCCCACCCAAACTATACCAGTATTCACGGATCAAATAACCAAAAGATCAAGAATCTA